GGTATTAGTTTATATTTTGATCATTTCCAGTTATGTTATATTTGAGTTTAACATTAAAACGTTTTTTGAGTTTACATCTGTCTCTGGAGTCTGCACCTTGGGTCCTTTTCCTGTCTGCACACAGCCACACCTAACAGGTGCTTAGAGACACACTAATCATAGACTGTACATAAAAGATGCATTTAAGCCTTTTTTCCATTAGTACCTACTCGGATCGGCCTGAGGCGACTCAAAGTGGCACGATTCACCTTGACTCATATTCCATGAGAATCGAGTACCAGCTAATGGTCATTATAGCAATGCGAAAAGGCATCCTGTGACGTAATTAGTATGCTACATGAATGCCACAACAAAGGTGGACGTCGAGGAGACGATATATATATCTGCTGCTCCATCTGTGGCTTGTAGTTAGACTCGAGGACCACAGCGTTGTCTTTTGTAGCAATTTCCCTCGTTGCTGGGTTGCGATTTTCGTGAAGGAGATGCTCTCGTGACTCATCAAGTGACCCCTCTGACCAGCCAATCGTTGGTATGCAGTCTGCTGACGTCTTTTTGAATCAGTCGGAATCCCGGCAGAGAAGGTTCTGAAAGAGAACTTGGTACCAGGTCCTATGATCAACCCAAGCAGGTGCTAACGTATAAGGGTTTTTAGAGTTGAGTTGACCCTTTTCGCTGTCACCATCTTGATATTTTGAAACCAGATGTGATGAGTGAGGGGTGGATCTGACTCAGAAACCAAGGGGCACTGCAGACTCACACAGCAGTGTCTAGTCCACAACAAGGTACAGTTATGGAGCTCAAACTACCCCACTGACATCCTTAAATATGTATGAAGGTACAGCTTCAACTGCTGGATCAAACCATAAAATTCTTCCTGCTGCTGACTGCTTATGAGAATTTGATTAACCCAGAACCTGTTTCTTCCTATTCATGATTAGAACGATCAGTGCCAGCTCATTGTCACTTGGTGTTGACTTCATTTGTTTGATATTACGAGTTTTTTTGAGGATACAGTTTTTGCAAAAGCAATGCTTCCCTTTTATTTATAGAAGCATATCATGGGCTCTTTTGAGGACATTTCTTATCATTGTTATGCTGATGATATTCAATTGTACGTTTCTTTTATGTCCGAGGATTTATCTAAGCTTCAGCGTCTGAATGATTGCTTAGATTTGATCAAACGTTGGATGGCTGCAAATTTTCTCCAACTCAACGAGGGGAAAACCGAAGTCCTCTTATGCGCCCCTGATAGGTTTCTATCGCAGATAGTGAAAGCCCTTGGTCTTCTCTCACTTTATGTTAAATCCTCTATCAGGAATTTAGGTGTCACCTTTGACTCGAGTCTCACATTGGATGGGCATGTGAAATCTCTGGTTCGGTCTTGTTTTTATCATTTAAGAAATGTGGCTAGGCTAAGCCCGGTTTTATCTTGCCCTGAACTTGAGATTGCTATACATGCTTTTATTTCGTCACGCTTGGACTATTGTAACTCGTTGTTTATGTGTCTAAGCAAAGGTTCTCTGGATCGTCTGCAGGTTGTGCAAAACGCTGCAGCTAGACTTTTGACAAAATCCTCCAAGTAGTCACATGTGACACCGTTATTATCTCAGTTACAATGGCTTCCTGTTAAATTTAGAGTTGATTTTAAGATCCTGGTCTTGACCTACAGAGCTGTGCACGGACTGGCACCTGCCTACATCTTTGATCTGCTACAGCCCTATGTCTCTAGCAGGTCTCTGAGGTCATCTGATCATGGCTTACTTGCTATAAAAAATACTAAGAGGAGGACTAAGGGTGATAGAGCTTTTGCCACTGTGGTCCCGAGACTGTGGAACTCCAAGTATTAAGAACTGTGGACTCAGTAGCTGTTTTTAAAAAACAACTCAAAACTTACCTTTTTAAAACTGCTTTTGGTTAATTTTATGCCCGTTTTATTTTCTCTTTTTAAATCTTTTTATGACTTGTAATCTTATGTGCAGCACTTTGTGATTCTGTCTTGAAAGGTGCTATATAAATAAAAAAAAATTATTTATTTATACAAAAACGTATATATAATAAGTTAACAAGCTTGGTTATCATAGATAGGCTCTAGTAGTACATTGGCAAATATATAATTTGCCAAATAATTATGTAAGAAAAAAACCCCTAAAATGCCGTAAATGTTTCAAGAGGTTCAGTCATGAATCAACTGAAGTGATGCTTCACTGTTATAGTGGCTGCAGCTGCCTGTGTTGGTCTCAACCTGCACATTGCTCAGTGAAGCAAACAGGTTGTTTATGCAGTTTGGAGAATAATAAGCCAGGTTAGCTTGCTAATAGTAACACTAATTAGTGTTTCTTTTACAGCATTTAGCTGCAGGCAGGCTATCATATCTCACTTTAATATGAGATTTAAAATGTTTTCTTTGTTTATATGACTATGTAATTCAAGTCTGCAGGGCTCCTGTGAGGTTTCACATCTTCTAAAACCCTTGGTGTCCTGACAGTTGAAACTGTGACGATTTGGCAATAATAATGGCACCGATCTATGGTTGACAATTTAAAAGGGTATCTATTAGCAGGCCCTATAAGGGCTGGATGTTTAGCAGAGGTGTAGCAATGGCATGGGTTAGAATATCAGAGGGGGTGCCAGTGAAAGCTTGGGACTTCCTACAGCTGCTTGTACAGGAAGAAGTAGATATTCCTACTCCTTCCTCTGCAGGCAGATTATTGAGGGGGGGGGATCTTCTCCCACAGAACTACAGCTCCTTTGTCTCAAACCCCAAATCCTCTAATCTCTTGTGTCTTCTATCAGGTGGTTTTGGCATCGTCTTCTCCTCTGACAACACTACACTCCCCGGTTTTTTCCTGAAACATTCACACGAACTGCAAAAAACCCAAAACAAAACCAAAAAACCCCACCACCTCTAAACCAGCGCACTGAAAACACTGGTCAATTATGTGTGTACATGAGGGAGAGGAACAGAAATGGCAGATGCTGCTTCTATGCCATTAACTTAATCTTTCGGCAGCCCACAGCAATTATGCCATTAACAGCCTCCCCTCGAAACGTAACAGTTTGTTTCATAACATCGCAACAGCGTGATTCATATATATATGATTCATGGTGTTAAAAAGATGAAGAGGCCTCGAGAAGCTTTGGTTACATAAAACCACCGTTTTTTGTTTTATTTCTCACCTCTTCTGTACACAACATAAACAAGCAAACACACAGACACAGCCACCCACACACAGGTCATAAGAAAATATACAAAAAATATGGCTGTTTATATGCCATGTGGGCTGAGCACTGATAATACAGTGGAATGATAAGGGAAGATGAATTATTCGTCGTCGTCTTCCTCGTCTTCTTCGTCGCTGATGACATACTTCTTTGCCTTTTTGGTGGCCGTTTCCTCGTCATCTTCTGCCTTTCTCTTGCCTGATCCCTCGCCCTCCTGTGACAGGAGTACATACAGCGTTCAGTTACACTTCAACAGTGAGTGCAGAAAAGCTTTCCTGCTCTGAAGAGTCTAGCTTTTGCTTTCCTGCTTAGTTACAAAGGATAATGAGAAAAGTTGGCTTTTTTTCTACACGGTGTCCTGCCTCACACCGCCCCCTGTCTGTCAACCACATCACTGCACCTACCTCGTCACTGTCCAACTTCTTAGCCTTCATCAGCCTCTGGGCTTTATCGTCATCAGAACCTTCATCACTGTCTGATGAGTAGATCCTGGCTCGCTCCTCTGTACGTGAGGCAGAAAGAGAAGAGCGTGTGCATCAGGCCTCTGTAACTCCCAAACACGTCTCAACATACGAGGAAAAAAATTATAGAAACAAAACGACAGCAGTCAATGTGAAACGCAGTCATCCTCACCTCTCAGGCCACTTCCACCCTTATACTTGCTCTTGATGGCTGCGAGGCTGATCGCCTCCTCGCCCTCTTCCTCGTCGTCATAGCGATCGGGCTCCAGGTAGCTGCTGCTCAGGCCTCTCTGATGCTGCTTTTCCCTTATCCTCCTCTGCTGGGACTCCCTGCGGATGGAGGCTCGCAGCCGCTCCTCCTCTTTCTGCCAAGACAGACCCGAGCGGCAAGTTTATACAAAAATCATTTCAAGGCATTTAATTTCTAGCTGCTTAGTTGTTAATTGTTTTTCCCCAAACACACTGAGAAAAAAGGTCGCTTTTTATGTTAGGTGTGGGAAAAGTCTAATTAATTTCCCTTTAAAGCAATAAGCTGGCCTTGTTGGAAAAAAACAATAAGAAATGAGCCTATTATTCGTTTTTGCTCTAAAGTACATTTACCCTGCTTGTTGTTCTGTTATTCCTATAACATGACAATTCCTCACTGGAATAAATAGAATTAGCTGTCCTACAATAAAAGGACAACTGCAGGCAGAGTAAGGACAAACGAGAGAAAGGGTAATTACTTTCTAAAACATTTGCCCTCCTGCCCATTTTAAGTTTGACAATCAGCTAGTGCCAGTTAGTCAAAAATGTGCTTCAATAACCTTTAACTTTAAACAGGAACACACGCTTACTCAGTCTGAACATTATTAGGCATCTACAATATGTCTATAGCAAACTTACTATCAAAAGAGCCGTTTTTAAGCAATTCTTGAACCCTCAAAAAACATATTTGAGTCTTGATGTTCCTACTTATTTAAGCTACCTGCCATACGTTTGCGGTGGCAAAAGAATTTCCCAGCTTTCACAGAATAAAGTGTCTACTGTGTATAACTTAGCCCATCAGTATTACTAATATATCTAAATACTTCAAATCTTTTACCACATGTGACTACTCTTCATGATCATGATTATTTAGTGCTTTAACTTTGCATTTTCATTACAATAATACTGTGTTTTCTAATCTAATCAAATTCATTTATCATGTTCTTATTTTTATTACCAACAATGAAACAATTGTGAAGAGAGGGGGAAAAAAAAAAAAAATCCAGCTTGACTTGGGTAACTATAAAGCAACGCTGTTTACTTTGAGTCCTACCTGAATCCAATCAAAAGGAGGCTACTTTGATAGTAAATAAAAAATATAACAGTCTAATATCTTTAAAAAAAAAATAGTGAAAGCAAATAAAATAAAGTTTCAATTTGATTTTGACTAAAGCCAGCAGTGTTGGTGGTAAAGCAAAGTATTCCTTATCCATTTTTCCTGCATGGATCTCCAGAGCCACAGCTTCAACACCCCATGGGCTTTAGAGCAGGAGTGGGCAGTTAATGTGGGTACACGACAACCTGTGGCCCCCTCTGCCCACCATTGCTCTAGAAATCTACACATTGCGCAGCTACTGAAGCTCCCATTATGATTAGCTTTGACTGTCTGCCCAAAGGCTAGATCAGTGTCAGAATTATGACACTGCAGAGGCGATTAGAAACTGTGGAAACTTAAAAGACATTTAAAACCTATAAACAAAGACTGTGCTGTGGGCTACTGGTGTGTTTTTTGTACTTTAGTGCAAGCTTAAGGCTTTCTGTCGCCAATTACCACCCTTTTCCACATCTACTACATTTTAGCTGCTCCTACCACATCTAACAGATGTCATGCTTTTTCTTAAAAGTAAAGCAGCCTGATTTCAGCTGCTGGTACTGAAACAGCCTGTTTGGGCTGTTTGAGGCACAACAGAGGGAAGGACCTATGAAGTGTACTGAAATTACACCTGAAATCCACATTCTGTGGAAATGTGAGACTGGCATACACTTGTATAAAGGCACGGACCCTTGTTGCTGTTGAACTGTAATCATGATAACTTAAGAACCACCAACTGGGAGTACTGACTACAAACAATGGGGGAAGCGTAATTGATGTCTAGTATTTGGGCGTCTATTGTTAATTATTCAAACTCGCACAATCCCCACTGACGCACATTAGACGTCATCATGCAGGACACGAGTGTTTAAAATACAAAGAGACAAATTTGTGTTTATATGTTTTAAAAGCCATTTTAAGCTAATGCTGCACAGTGAAGAACAATGTAATCTGCAGTCTTTCTCAAGCCGACAGTAAACGCATCACCAGAACTCTAGACTGGTTGACTCAGTTTCCATTTCACTCGCCACTGCGTGACCACATTATGCAAGCATGTCAGGTTATGTTATTATGTAAGCAGCCATGGTGCCTGTCAACAGCTGACCTCATCTCACTCTTCCGGTCTCTGTGGTAACAAAAGAATTCCCACACCGGACGGCTCGTGCTACCTTGATCATTTCATTGCGATGGGACTCGGGATCTCGTCCAGCCATGGGAAGGATTCTGATCTTCTGTGTCTTTGAGCAGCGGTCAGCCAGAGACAGGGTCATCTTCCTGTGGGTGGCGCTGTCTGTGGAGTGGGGTCTGGAAGTGCAGAAAAAACAACCTGAATTATAACATTTCCCCAGTACGTCTTCATAAAAGTGCATCTCTTAAGAGTGGGAGGTTTTCACACATTTTTTCCCTTTTCTTCTTTATTAACACATAGATCACACCTCTGTGTTGCAAACAGGCAGAAAGAAAAACACAGTATCGACTGCCAAACCTGTTTTAGCCCACACTCATTAAATCTACCTTGTGGAGTTTTTAATATCGCACGCTTTATTTCTATCTTGGGCAAACACATTGCACACAGGGCATGTTAAGCATATCCCTGCCAGTAATGTAATGCAGAAGGAAACTAAAGCACAAGCTAATTTATAGCTAACTGTCATCTTTATTAGGTCATGCAGCATTAGGTACATGCTGGTCTTTATATTGCCCTGTGCTTTCACACATTTCCATGAGCTCCATATAGAGATTAAAAGTTGCACTGAGAACCTCTGATGTTTTTTTGTGATGTCTTGCTAATAAGAAAGAGACTCCCACTCTGTTACACGGCTACACAGCAACAAGCACTGAGAGTAGGTGTGGATTAAATAAAACACAATAAAATATAAAACAAAATGCGCCATTTTCTTATGTACACCTGTTTGACTGTTCCCTAATAGAAATATATGATCAGCCAATCACGCGGCAGCAACTCAGAGCATGGTCAAGATGACCTACTGAAGTTCAATCTGAGCATCAGAATGAGTAAGAAAGGTGATCTGAGGGGAACTCTGAATGTGATATGGTTGTTGGTGCCACACGGGCTGCCTGATTATTTCACAAAGTGTTGATCTGCTGGATATTTCCCACATAACCATCTCCAGAGTTTACTGGGAAAGTTTATAAAAAGAGAAAATATGCAGAAGAGCATCTTTGAACGAATATCACATAAAAACCTGTAAGCAGCAGCTACAGCAGCAAAAGACCACGCTGGGTGCCGCTCCTGTGAGCTAAGAATAGAAACCAGAGGCTACAATTCACCTGGGTTCACCAAAATTGAGCAACAGAAGACAAAAACACTGCCTGATCTGATGAGTCCAGATTTCTCCTGTGACATTCAGATGGCAGGTTCAGAATTTGGCATGAAATTCATGAAAGCATGGATCCATCTGGCCTTATATCAAAAGTTCAAGGCGCTACTGGTGGTGGTGTAAAGGTGTTGGGCGCACGTGTACCCCATAGAGTACCAACTGTGCATCACAACACCAAAGCCTATTTACTACTGCTGCTGACCGTGCCCAGTCCCTTAACGCTATAGGGTACCCATCTTTTAATGGCTCCTTCCAGCAGCATAACACACCGTGTCACAAAGCTCAACTCATCTCAAGCTGTCAGGTCAATATGGACCAAAATCTCAGAGGAATGTTTCCAGCACCTTGTTGAATCTCTGCCACAAAGAATTAAAGTAGCTCTGATGGCAAAAAGAGGTCTAATCCAGCAAGATGTACCTAGCAAACTGGCTGTTGAGTGTAAATGTGGTCTCATTAAGTAGGCGTACATGGATGTAAACAATGCTGGCGCATTAAAAAGCCCCCAATTCTGAGCCAGGTATGACGTAACAAATTCATCAATTATGTCTGCTTGATTAAAAGAACACACTGTGTTCGTTTGACTTCACCAAAGACATCTGTTGTTGTCGAGTGTCTCACGTTATTAGATCCCCAACAATGTTCTTACAATACAAACATTAACCGCTGGCCTCAGCTCCCTCATTTAATGATGACTTATGAAAATATCACCACAAATATAATCTATGCATTTATTAAAAATACATTAAATTTAACACAAATCACTCACGATGCTGAGACCACTCGAAGCTGTGAATGACAGAGTCATGTGCCTGTTGGCTTATTTAAGAAAATGTATTTATCTGTAACCTTAAGTTCACTGTCGTATCACATGACCTCGTGAATGAAGAAGTCTTGTCATACAGTATGTTCTTTAGGTGCTCACATTTTTTTTTTTTTTAAAACGTGAATTTTCTGGCTTTAAAGGAGTTAAAGGTGCTTTTAAAAGGAAAATAAAAGCATTGTAACCATCTGCACGCTGAGCAGTTCTAATCCTAATCAAAACTCAAATGTTAATGCTCCAAGGGAACAAACTGTAATAATGTTCTGTTTGGGAACACGGAGGCCTGTTGCACACTGAGGCAGGTTTGCCCTCATAGACCCATGCGGGGTGAAAGACAGAACATTCAGGTGGATTTGGGGGGGGCGCTAAGAAGCTTAAACAGTTCTTACTGGGAGAAACCTGTGCAGCTTGCACAAGGTGATCCGGGGACTTAAAGCATTCAGTACATTTCTAAATGGAGCCTGAATGAAGGGTGCCATTGTGGCTGCTGTTGTTGTTGTTGTTGTTTGCAGAGGTAGCCCGGAGTTTGTTTAGAACATATTCTACTGTCAGGGAGCCAGACGGAGGAGGAGTCTCCCTCGCAACTCTCAGTCTGTGCCTAAAAGGAAACAGCAGCCTGTTACCAAAGCCACACTGGCATGTTAGTGCATTACCTGAAAGTGAGTTTGGTTTTGAACACGGCCTGTCCCTGCAGCCCGGTGCCCTGTCGGATGAAAAGGTGATTGTGGTCTCCTTGGAGTGGAGCTTTGTAAACATCGAACACTTCGTTCCCCAGGTGGAGGGACATGCTGTGGAAAGAATGGGAAACTGAAAAGCGTGCCAAGTACAGAGTTATGTCCTGATCGCAGTGTCGCACCTCGCGGCATCCAGCCTGACGTAACACACACCTGCCGTCGGACCATTTGACAATGCGCGCATTGCTCTCTCGGGTTTCATTTCCCTCCTCGTCTCTCTTCGCTCTCCACCGGATTGTGTTCTCCACCTGTGGGGAGAAGATGATGAACATCAGGTGACGTAGGAAAAAAAATCTAAATAAATAAAATCTGTCATCCGTCATTTCCAGTCTACACAGACCTTCAGTTTGAGCCTGGTCCGCCCCTCTTCATCCAGCATTTCTTCATCCTCAAATTCATCCTCATAGTACTGAGGATCAAACGGCCTAAAAGGGAAAAAAAGAAAAAGAAAAGACAGCGTCAAAGAACATCTAATTATCTTATCATCAAGTGAAAATAATTTTTCCATCCATCTACACTGCACATGCTCTGACCTGGGCTCCACAGACAGGAAATTGGGCAACTTGACAAAATAAAGGTCGGATCCCAAGTCAGTGCTGACTTTTGGGATCTCTACTTCAATACGAGTTTCAGGCGCAGGCTCCTCTTCTGCCTGCTCCCCCTCCATACCATCCTCTGCATCCTAGACACACACACACACGAACAAGTGAACAAACACTGTATAATCCAGTGACCCATGACAATAGGGATCGGCTCAGAGAGGCTTAGAGAAAAAGGGGATTTTGGATCTCGTTTAAAAGTGTGATGAGTGCAGAGAAGAAACAGAGGGCGAGAGAACAGACACATACCAGGGGCTGGCCCGGGGTTGGGGGCTTCTCTGCATCGCTGTCTGAAGAGATGTCGTCCGCTTCTCCGAACAGGTCATCTGCTGCGGCCTTCTTTGCTGCGGAAGAGTACGGATAACTTTCAGTACCATAAAAATATCAAATTCAGCAGCAGAAACAAAAGACAAATCGTTGCTGCTACGTTGACTCAGTAAGGTTAGGGCTTACGTTTTGTTTCAGCATCGCTGTCTGAATCGGAATCGGAGGCGGCTTTCGTTTTGGGTTTCCGTCCTATGAAATCATCTTCGCTGTCACTTCCTTTTGCAGACTCTGAAAAACAAAACCAAGAAATTTTATGTATCATTTTCCACATGTCACGTTTATAGTGGAGGCACGGGACACCCACGCACATCTTACAGTAAAGGAAAACAGTTCATCGCCTCGTGCAAAGAGTCTGTGTGAAAAATTAATCTCATATTAACCTCTGAGTTTTAAGCTCGGGATAAAATGTTCACATATGGCCCCAATCCATGAAATTTACTGTGTAAAAAGATTAACCCTGGAGGCTGGCTCAGCGGCAGATCCTGGGGGTTGTACCTGATTTCCTGTTCCTCGGTCCCTCATCATCAGAATTTTCTCCCTCTTCGTCAGAGTAGTGGCGTTTCTCCTCCTCGTCCTCCGACTGGTCGCTCTTAGCTTCTCCGCCCCACTTCTCATCCTCCGATTGGTTCTCCCTCCCTGAAGCTTCGCCGTCACTGTGAGGTGTGCCCGGGCCCGACTGCGGAGTCCCAGGATCGCTGTGCATACTGAATAAGAACAAACACGGTAAACATATATTCTGATTTTTATTCCTCTGGAAGTCACTTAATCCCCCATCCACTTCCTTATGACAGATCAAAGACCTGATGGCGTTTCTCAAACTGGAAAAGATATATTTTAGCATCCCGATCTCTGTGCCATCAACGACCTCAGTTAAACAACGGTGAGCTGCAGCCTGTGTGAGACGTCGTACCTTCTGTCTGAGCGAACGCTGCCCCTGTCAGAACGAGGGCTCCCACCGCCAGACATCCCGCTGCCAGCCGGGCTTCCTCCGTCCGACCGGTGACCCCCATCCTCCTCGTCTTCATCCTCATCTCGATGGTCACGGTCCGAGCCGCTGTGCTGCTCTGCGTCGGAGTGATCGTTGTCCCCGCGGTCTGAGCGCATGCTGGCATCTGACTGGTTCCCCGAGCGCTCAGACTGGTTGTCGCTTCCGCTGTGTTGTTCATCCTCACTGTCGTCTCCAAACAGCTCCTGTTACGGAGAAGACACATGAGTACGTTTAGATGCAGCTCATGACTGTATCGTCACACAGACACACACACGCACGCCTCAGTCCTTCTACTGCAGACACACGACACCTTCATTGTGGGATAAACATACTAGATGGTTTGAGGTAGGTTGAAAGTTTAATAACTCAAGTCAATGCAAGATTAACATTACAAAAGGAATACAATTCTCTGAGGTCACTGTGGAAGTTGAAGCAGTATTTTCAGTGGCTAAATTCACAGCTGAACGACTGATTAGGCGGCTGTCTGAACGATGTCTGCAAAATGCACCTTATTCATGCTGGGCTTGCCGGCCTCCCTGCCTTCGTACTCGTCATCATCATCATCCCGCTCCCTCTCGCTGTCACTGCCGCTGCCTGAAGCGTTGCTGACAGAACGAGGCCTCTCCTGCTCCGACTCTGAACCAGAGCCGGAGCCAGACTCTGCAAAGAGATAAAGCAGTCAGATTTATTCTAGTTTGTAGTGCCAAACAGATGTTACTCACTCCTCTCACATTACAAATGCGTGACTAAAAAGGTGAAGCTCAGCTTAAATCCTCATACTCTCCATATACCAGTGTTTTGTTCAAACAAAGCAGGGCTGGGGGCAATCCTGTTTAAAAGAAATAATATTTATTTATTTATAACCACCTTAAGTCTCTTTGGGGTGCAAAATCACAGTATTTCTGTGGAAAAAACGAGTGATGCCAGAAAAAGCTTCCAATTATCAACTACTTTTGGACAAAAAGAAGCAAAGATGATATCAGTTTGTTAACATCAGTAAATGAATCATGCATCTTTAACTGTGGGATCCCTTAAACATCACTGTGTGCACAGCAGCACTGTAAACAACACTGATCCTGCATGAAGAGCTCCTTTTTGTAGACTTTTTAGATGATTTCAGCATCAACACAACAAAGTGCTTTGATGGTTTTCCACACTTTGTCTCATACAGACATAATATATTTATGTCTCTGAATAATACCCATAGAGGATATTTAGACCTTTTTGAATAAATACTGTTATATCTGACAGTTGTTTGTATGGGATTATCTGATGCAATCACAATATTATTTATGTACGGCTGGATCAACAGTGAGTACTGAAATACACAGTGTCATACGGTTTTCTCGCACTGTTCTTCTTTCTGTAAAAATCATTTTAGTAGCAAGTCCGTGGAAATTAAAGATTATGTAGGTGAACTTAGGTGCTGCACCAGTTTGTGCGTGAAGACAATTCTAATTTTGAGATAAGGGAATTAAGTTTTTTTAAGGTCTTAAAATGTATATTTGCAGTCGTGCTGCTAAAAAAAAAACATGAGCGCTGATCACATCCTGCACCACAGCAACAAAACAACTTAAGCCATGGCCCTCCGTCTGACACATCACGTGAATCCAAACACTGAAAACCGATTTTTTATTTTTAAAAGGAAAAAGAAAATAAGAAAGAAAAAGAAAAGTGAAACTAGGTGAAGGATAAAAGAACTCCACGATGGTTTCCATTAAAGCCAACGTTTAAAACACATTAACATTATTAACGCCTGCCTCGATATAACGAACATCCGCGAAACGTTCCACACCTCACTCTCGCGTTAAAGCTCCCCTCTGCTACGCAGCTGCGCACAACGCGGCACTCATCTAAATGCACAAACTGATGATTAAACAATATAAGCCACGAGTTTCGGGCAACATTACCTCGCTGGTCGTTGTCGCTGTCCCCATCGCTCCCGAACAATTCATCCATGTCCGCCATTTCTTCCAAACTGTAGTAAAACGTGACCTACAGGATATAATCACTGGGTTTAAGGATTTTGGATCCGGGTCAAGCTGAGCTTAAGTGATGTAATAAATCTAGTCAACCGCCAGGGGGAGACACAACACCTGCTTAGCTTCTAACCAAAGAATATTCGTTTATTCGTTTATATATACTTTTATGAAAACATCGTTATGTCTATATATATATATAGCAAAGTCTGGTTAAATTTAAACCTGGCTATTCGGAGTGTTTTATGGTCTCCTTTCTTTGTTCTGTAGCCTTTTTAAATACTTTCCTTTGCCTGTAATAAATTCTGCAATGGCACACATATAATGTGGCTTTGTGTGTGGGAATAGCAGCTGTGTGACACTGGACGCTATTGTTCACTTTATAACAGCAGGCGTTGTGATGCTGTGGAGAGCTATAACGACTGATGAATTCATGAATGCATCAAAAACACTGGTAGGAATATTACAGTGTTGTTTAGTTATGGCTTAAGTTTGAATGTGCATTTTACCAGCTGGTTTGTCTTTCGTTTTTTTTCTGGCTATACTGGTTGAATTGTGTCAGTGTCAGTGCTGGGAGCCACCTGACAGCATCTGTAAGCCTTTATTAACCTTTGTTTATTACCAGATGCTAAAGCAGTGAGGCTTATTTTCCTCTCAGATAACATCTGTGCAAAAATCCATGTGAAACCTGCTCCACCCTGCATTGTTTTGTTTTTTAGAGGAAGGCGCTCATGTCTGACACCACTGGAGCAAATCATAACGACAGCCAAGTGCTCTGACACCAGTTAACCCTCTCTCAGGCATGTGTTGATGAATGAAGAAAAACTGATTGCATTAAAAGTCATGTTCCTCTCTGCGCCTCAGTGCAGCTCAAATTCTTGAGCTGTTTATCTTAACAGCTTTAGGAAATAGGGAACCGAGGCATGTCTCAGCACCCTCATCTTTTGCTGAAGTTTTTGTGTTACGGACAAGGCATCTTATAAAACTGCGTGTACAGTTTTATGTGAGCCAAGAAGGTACAAACAATTGAGCAAGGTATGGCTTTTAGTGTAGTTTTTGCTCAACAGCAGTAAGTGTGAAAAAACTGACAGAGTGAATGGGATGTATGCAGGTAAACTCCAGATCCAGATGAGCTGATTGGTGGAGTCGTGGGGAAACTGTCTGAAAATAATATTGATACGAAGGAGCTGGAGCCGGCAACTTTTTTTTTCTTTGCTAAGGTCTTTAATCATGAAAAGTGCATGACACACTGGCAGACCGAAAAGACGATTCAGTGAAAATACATCCTTAAGAGAGAGACCTGCTGCTGCCTCCTTCCTTTGGGTCCTTAGATGTAGTTTATTTGGACATCACTTGCCTCCGCTATGATGCCCAGACAATCAGACAAAGACAAAGTTGGAGTTATTCTGTATCTTTGCACAGCTATCTCTTCTTCTCTCACCCTCTCCCCCCTCCCTCTCCTGTTGTTACTTCAATCATGAAACTGATCAATGATAAGCTGATTGGCTTTTCTGTCGCAAGTTCCGTCTCCCTTGTTTGTTTATCGCCCACTTTGCGCAAGACAGAGGAAAACAGCGGGTGTCCGCTGTACAACAGCAGCACGTTTAAGCTTGATAAGCTGTTGTTATTGTGAATTTATTTAATATTACTTTCTAGTATCAGCTGATGTTTGCTGGAGCCACAGCACCACACTTTTCATTCAAAGGCTTTATGGCTTTTCCTATAATACCTGGTGGGCCGGTCTCTAGTCAAAATGCCCGGGCTGATTTTTTTGTCCCAGTCCAGCCCTGGTACACAGTGTAAGCTTTGTGCAAATGCCTGTGTTTGCATAAAAGAGAGAGAGAGAGTTTGATTTGCATCAAAATCTAATATTAGTGGGACAGTGACAATAAATGATAAAATATAGAATAGTAAGTATAATATACTAATATGATTCTAAATGCAGCCTAGTAGAATTTCATCTTAAATGAACATGCCCTTAAAGTCTGCAACACATGGTGGAGTTTACTCAGTTATTGTAAAGACGTCATATTTAATTATCATGATGAGTAGCAGTGGCAATCATCCAAAGCTTATCTCAGCGTCTCAGTGCATTTCAATTCTTGTCCAAATTTGGTCAAAATAATACCTCTTTTTTTATTTCATTTTTAAATATATTTTTGTTTAAATAGAGAAATTTTATGTTACTTTGTTTTATTTTATTTTACTCTATTTATTATTTTATTTCAGTTCGCCTCCTCCATATTTCATATGATTGGTCTCTTGTAGGAGAAAGGGCGGGTTTATTAGTGCCATTGGTTGAGGCTTGGGATACTACCATCCTATTCGTTCAACCAGACGTCACTCATATACTGTTCGGTTCCCTTTTCCTGTGTTACCGCCCTTACCCTGAGTGAGGAGTCAAGCACAGAAGACATCGCATTGGGAAGACTGGTGCTATTTGGACATTCCCTAGCTAGGTCCCATCAGCCTCAGGTAAGGAAATAGACGACTGTTTGCGGTTGGAAATCACTCATCATGAACAACCGTATAGCTTTGCCTGCTGTCATTTGTAGTATGTTCACTGTGGCTGCTAAACGGCTAGCAACTTGAGTGAACTGCAAAGGTTAGCGCGTTAGCTTCTACATTTCATCGGACTGTTTCCCATGGTAGTGTCCGTCCGATACGTGCAGCTAAGTTAGCAGAGCAAGTGCCCCATGAACCGCTTGTTCTGGCTTGAACTGAAGTGTGGCGGATTTTGCTAGGCGGTGATAATTACAATCATTATGGCTGCTGTCAGCGTGGTAATCATAAACATGTCAAGAACGGGTTAGCTAACGCCGTTCCGTAGCCCGCTGTGTCTCCAGAAGATGAGACCAGCTAAGTTTTCACCAAAAGTAGCATATTTGATATTTATTATGTTAGTAGTGCTGTGTGGTATGTGGTGTAACTGCAGATTAACCCGGGTCTTCTCTCTTCTGTATGTATGATTATTGCTAATGCTATGCAGAATGTAGGTCCAATATAATGTGAGCTGCCCATCCCTGCTAGCCAGACAAATAATTAGAAACGCGGTATGAATAGTGCCTGTGTTTCTCTATTTGACCGAGACAAGAGTTGTTTGTTTTTGTGTTTTTTAAAGGACATACCTTTGGTGGGATGGCTCACACCATTGTTAGAGGTTAAGGGAAGACTTTGTACTTCTTGTCAAAGTGCAAAGTCATTTTACCTGTATCGCAAGTATTCTGACACATTCTTTGCTCAAGATTTAGCGTGAGGGTTTATTGGTGTGTTCACAATGGTAGTTTCACCAAGCAGGACTCAGTGGTGAATGAAGGGTGTGGCCCAAGACGTCAGCTTGGGTACTTGTGGTTTTTTGCGTTTATTAAGCCCCAGGGATCTGAGAGTCATGCTTTGTAGCCAAATAATAATGTTGTGGTGGTTGCTGAATTGACTTTTCTTTTCTTTTTTTTTTCTTGAACTGCCACCACTGCAGTATTGCAGATAAACTGGCTTCTCAGATAGGTTTTGTTTACCCCGCATACCTTTCACTGAAGGGTGAAACCTGGCTCTGAGCCATGGTAGTGAATGGTGGCTTTAGTTTTTACAAAGAAGTGATGAGTTTTCTTGAGCATGTATTCATACTC